GTGTGTGTGTGTGTGTGTGTGTGTGTGTGTGTGTGTGTGTGTGTGTGTGTGTGTGTGTGTGTGTGTGTGTGTGTGTGTGTGTGATTTTTGAACCATTAAGCGTGAAACAAATCTCCCATTAACAGATCTCTTCCTCAGAGCTCAGACATCTCTTACTCGCTCCATTAGAGCACATGCACAAAAATCTATCCCTGCGATCAATCAACCATCGCAAGCTGCCGTCTTTATTCTGTTCACGTATCCGCAGATATGGACGGAGGATGGACCGGACGCACTGTTGGGTATCGGGTTGTAAAGTCTGAATTCAGTTTTTAAGTTGGTTGGGGTTAAACTTCCTTAGGTTTGTAAAAATTTGTGCGTCTTACCAAGTTAAGCAGAAGATTTAACAGAAGTTTTATCTTCTCCAATTGTAGAATTATCTGATTTTTTTCCCCCCCTTATTTTGAAATGTTTGACATGAAATGATTTTATTACATTTTGCACATTAAACCATTAAGAAATCAATCAGTTCATTCATAAATAGACGAGAAGAAGATGTGTAGATAATACAAAAAGTATTTTGTAATATCAGGAAAGTCCCTACAAAAAAAGAAAAGAGAAAAGAAAGTTATATAGCTCTTTGTAGTTTCTAATTACATACCAAATGCAAATACTGCCTCCTTTAACTTAGGCCACCCATGCAAAAAAAGCGATCCTGCAAAGTGCCTTGCAGCCACCACACGGCAAATCTAATGCTGAAGCTAAATAAGACAAAAGGGGTCTAAATCACAAAGTCAGGCTGGAATTAAAGAAGTGTCTTTCATCCATTCTAATGAAATCGTGTAGATTTCCCCTGCTGGTCTAAATTTGTTCTGGTGGTTGCTTTTCGGTAATCTTTGTGCTTAAGGGTAGAGAATAATGGAAGCTTAACCGCTCTGGAATAACATTGGTTTTCAATGATACGGGCGCAGAGATTTGAGAACAGGCTCCCTTGTTGTATTGATGGTGTACATCCAGTTCAGTAGTTCCAACGGTTTCCAGGCAGGTTTAATCAATCCGAGAAATGGCGATTGTATTCGATCTCAAAGGTACAGTTATCCCTCTCATGCCTGCGAGAGAGAGAAAAGTCTTTTTGTTTGCTACTATTGCAATATTAAAACCATTGATTAGAGATGAGTTGGATAACGGAGCTTCTCAAGTCAACTGAGGTAAAGCTGCCTTTATTGCCACAGAGTCTGGTGCAGTATGTTGCACGTCAGAATGAATGAAAAGCTGCACTGACATTTTCTCTTTGTGTTGTAGTAAAAACATGTGTTTTGGAATTGATTTAGGTAAACTGATTTAATCTTCAGCATAAGTGTAACTGACGCTTAAGTTTGAGATGTTTTCCAGAAAAATCTGGCAGCAATTTGTTACCAAATTCGATCAGAGCAAAGAGCCATCGTGTGAAATCCTCCTTTGGTTTGGTGTTTACAGTACAAGGCCACTGTGACGCCGTGGGTAGGGCTCAGGAAAATCAACGTGTCCTACTGGTGCTGGGAGGACATGTCGCCGTTCACCAACACCACCCTGCAATGGCTGCCGGGTGAGCCAAGCGACGCCGGGTTTTGCGGCTACCTGGCCGAGCCGGCAGCCACCGGACTGAAAGCTCAAACCTGCATAAGCCCGGTGAATGGCAGCCTGTGCGAACGACCAGGTGAGCTCACTATGTTTATATTTTAAAGTCTTTTAATGTACATGTATTTTTACATAACAGAAAAAAGAAGTTGCATGCATGAGTAATGCCATGTCTGAAGAGAAAGGGTTTTTTTCCTCTGTAACCTTTCTGTCCGTTCTTGTTGAGGCTGCACAAGTAGATTGTCATGCCTGATGCTCATTTTTGTTGCAGATGCCTCATGTCTGCCTGATGAGGCTGTCATTAGGCTGATACTGGGTACACAAAAGGCAGATGGAGGCCTAAATGGATTTGTGAATAGCTATGAGGCTCATTATACCTCTTGCTGTAACAATGACACCTTTTAAAATGCACTTGTGTTCATTTCTCACCCTTTAAAATGAGCTTAAGAGACTTATAGCTGCTGCTTTATAATGCCCTGGAGTTCAGCAGAGGCTGATGTCCCACAGAGGCATCTGTGCTAAAAGAGTTTGTTGCATTTTACAGCCAACCACAGTGCCAAGCAGTGCCGGACACCCTGCGCCATGAGAACCACCTGCAGCGAATGCACCAGCAGCAGCAGCTCAGAGTGCATGTGGTGCAGCAACATGAAGCAGTGCGTCGACTCCAACGCCTATGTAGCCTCCTTCCCCTTTGGCCAGTGTATGGAGTGGTACACCATGAACACTTGTCCACGTAAGAGATCATTTTCCCGTTATTGCAATTCGATTTCATTTCATCTGCCTACATGTTATAAAAGTATAGCTCCTCAATAGTTTCACTGTTCCTCCCTTTTTTGCCCAAGGACTTCTGGCAAGCAGTTTTGGCCTGAGGGTCATTTCATGACCAAACAATCAAGATGAGAAACCAACTAACCACATTAAAGTGGGATTGAGGCTAAAACCAAGTTTTAAAACCTTTAGCCGTTTAATGTAGCCCTTCACAGTTTAAATTCTTAATCTCCTTTTAGTAATACTTTATTTAACAGAGTTATTTCTTAGAATGAAATATGTAATGAATTGAATTTCAAGGGGAGTAAAGGAGTTTCATTTAATTGCTCCACTTAATGACTAATTTATGTTTTAGTCAGAGCACAGCATGTTGGTGAACATGGGGAACAAAAACTTTAGTGAAATTTTCGGGTGGTTATTGAGCGTGCCATATGGGTGCAAATTGCCTGGTGTTTCCCATATTTCCTGTCTGATTTGACAGATTTATTATTATTTTTTTAATCAGTCATAAAATCATAAAGTGGCAAACAAATAATCTTAAGACAAAAGAAATGGTTCAATGCGTAGATGAGTTAGAAGAAGAGAGTGTAACATTTTAAAGCTTATTTCCTTATTTATCACTGCTGGGGGAGAGTGACTCTAAATGTAGGGAGCAGTAAAATTGGGCACCCTTACCGTCGTCTTTGCTGCTGCAATTCGTAAATGTTTTTGATTCCGATCAGCGGTGCATCACTGATCTCCTTGATCTCTGCGTCTCTCATTTAAAATCCCATTGATTGCACGTAAAATGTTTACTTTTAAGAGTTGCCAGCTCATGCCGGCTGCCCAGTCATTCTCCTACTTTGAACAAATTGCAGCTGCTGCCATAGCAAAACACTCTAGAAGAAGAGCCCGACACTTGAAACCGTTGCAGCATTTCATTTAAAGCTCTGAAGCTGCAAGCAGCTACATCTATAACTACCAGCCCTTCAGTCACGATTCATTAGTTGCAATTTAAGAAACGAGGAAAACCCGGCGAAAAATAAAGCATAAATCTGAAATCTGTGTATGTAGTACTGTAGCTGCAGTTAATATACTCAATCATTCAAGCATATGCTGCTCTGGAGATCTTCACCAAATTTACAAAAAAGGCTTGTTGATTATTGGTCTGTAGAGTAAAGCAACTTTGGACTGCTAAATGGGGGGGTTAACCTCCATTTAGCCGAACAAATAAAATTGTAGCCCTCCACTGAATGGCGATGGGGATCGATAATCTGGTTTGATAGTTTGAAACCTGGTACTTTTTGGATTTCGTCTTTGCAGCAGAGAACAATTTTCTTTTATGAAACCTAGCAGGTGAATCAACTTATTATAGCCATCGATGGATGAACTGCTCATGGGGCGAGAGATGGAAATTAAAGGCACACATTCATGGGTCTTGAATTGTCTTTATGTGGAAATTGTGCCATGTTGACTGATGATGATTACATGTTAAATGGTTATCCAGCTTATAGATAGCTTTGAAACTCTCTTCCTTTCCAAATTAAGTGGAAATTAAGCCAGATTTTTTTTTTTTTTTTGAATAGAACACACATTCAGTTTTTCTGAAGAAACTGTTTGACATTTTTTGACAACCACATTCTTGCCGGGCTATAGATGTGAAGATCAATCCAGCTGTCCACTTTGAAGCTAAAAGCAAAGAGGCTAGCTTTGATTTAAAGAGTGAAATCCGGTGAAACCAGCTGGCACGACCCTGCTAAAGGTCGAGAGCTAACATGATGTAACCTGTAATGTGTGAGGAGATTATATTATAGCCATTTCCCTCCAGTTCCAGTGTCTTAGCTTTATTTTAAGCTAACTCAAAAAATGATCACGCTATCGCTTGCTTCTACTGACTAGTGTTTTATTCTCATATAAGCACAATTTTCTGAGTATGTCGGGAATTCGGAGCTCGGATTGTTGAAATACTGATGGCTTTGTTTGTACCTTCCAACACAGAATCATTTTTAAAAGCCGTTTTTATTTTTTACAGTCAAAGAATTCAGAAATATAAATACCTTTTTAATCACCTAGTGCTGCGTTGTGTTTCACTTCAGCGGAGAACTGTTCTGGATACAGAACGTGCGGGCAGTGTCTGGATCAGCCGGGCTGCGGTTGGTGCACTGACCCCAGTAACACGGGCAAAGGTCAGTGCATCGAGGGTTCCTACCGCGGGCCCTTCCAGACCTCTGTCCCGGCCCCTTCCACCCTTCCTGGTCTGCCCGCCAATCCTCAGCCAGCCCTCAACGCCAGCATGTGCCCGAGCGAATCAAAGTACAACTGGTCCTTCATTCACTGCCCAGGTAGGAACGTAATCTAAGATATTAGTTATGTGACATTAAATGACATTCATGCAAATTAATTTCACACACACATGTTGTGGGGATTACAAAAATGGTTGTCTGTTAAATCTGCGTTGTAATAAAAACCTAAATGTGAATTTATCAGACAATAGGCATCCAAAGAAAGTATGTGTTTATGTTGCATTTTGGGAAAATGTGTTTCTGTATTGTCACTTTGGTTTATAATTGTTCCTCATTATGTGGTACAGACAGGCGGACTTGCATTTGAAGGAATTACTCACATAGCTTAATAACTATAGTGATCTTCTCATCTAAAATGATTGAAATGCTGCTTTAAAGAGACTTCTGGCTGCTCTGATGCCTCTTATGACACACTCGAGCACTGGACAACAAACAGCGTTTTGTTTTTTTTTTGTTTTTTTACATAAATTTACATAAATTTCTCTGCTCAGAATAATCTACTCATTCTTTCATGTTCTGTCTTTATCGTACCCCCCTCTCGTCTCGGGGTGTGATGTTTATGCAGTATGTTTGTTTACTCTTTTGCAGCTTGTCAGTGTAATGGTCACAGCCAGTGTGTCAACGAAAGCATCTGTGAGAAGTGCGAGGACCTGACAACCGGCCGACACTGCGAGAGCTGCATCTCCGGCTTCTACGGAGATCCGACCAACGGGGGCAGCTGCCAGCGTGAGTATCCGTGGGCCGTTCGGCGCGACGCTAAATCAGCCAGTCGGTATTTCGGCACGAGGCTTCATTTAACTTGTCAGTATTTTACAGTCCATTTTTACGTCAGCCGTTTTCCTGATTCCTCGCTGCACCGTAAAGCCTTCCCAGGGATATTAAAGATGTACTCCTTTACAGCTAATGCTGACAGTCAGTCAGTCGGACAACAAATCAATTGTCTATTCCTTCGACAGGTTAATTTAGATTACCGGTATATTACAGCCACAGTGTATGTTGTGCGATTTTTACTTTTTATGCCTCCCTCTGGTATGTACATATATTTATTAAGTTCTGCGTCTGTGACAGTCAATCAATAACCTGTCCTGTCTCCATTCAGCATCGCTATCTTGTCAGCGTGCCCCCTCGGGGACATTAAAGGCATGCTTTACTTCACAGCTAATTGGTTTGACTCAAGAGGCATTATGTGGACAAGTAAAAAGTACACAGTCAGTGCCTCAAAATGGAGATTATTATCAAATAATCAAGATGACACGTGAGACTAAATGATGATAAATCATAAGGTGGCTCTTTTCTTCCAAGTCCCCCACTGTTAGCAGACTTGTATGTATTTCACAGCTGTTTCTACCAAAGGGGTGAGTCATTTTAAGAATGATTAATGAGGATGAATTAATATAAAGGATGATGTGCATTAATGTTTGTGCAGGCACCTTAAAATGGGTCTTTTAAAAATCACCAAGCCTAATAGACATTTGACACGTGTTCACCATGGTCATGGCTCTCAGTATGAGCTTTAAACAGCATGGGGAAGCTGAGAGGTGGTGCTGTGCAATGCTTTATTTTTTAAAGCACAGATGTTAGAGTTGCACATACATGTATGTTCATGTATGGCTTCACCACCTTACTTTGGTGTATGGCAGACCAAGGGTCACATAAATAAATTCAAAAAACTGACAGTAATTCTGGCCTCTGGCTCTAATGCAAGTACTGTTTGGGCAACAACACATAAAGCAAAATCTATACTTCCTGGTGCAAAAACAGTCTAAAGGTAAAAACTATATCCTGAATCTTTGCTGATTCCCATCCATTTGTCCAGGTTTGACCTGTAAAGGGCCTGTTCTGGCTCGTGGGACGCATGTTTGACAACCCGGGTTTAAATGAACTAAATAATGTGCTGGATGCTGTTTGTGCAGAATATTTTTATATGCACTGACAGTAATGATTCATCTGGAATGATTGTTATCAGAGATACGTTAAACATTCAGTCATATTGTAAAAAAATCAACTGTAGAACTCATAACTGTGTTTAATAGATAAAATAAGAGCTTTTTCACTTGCGCAATATTATGAGAACTCAAAGGTGTGTAGCCTTAAGAAAAGCACTTCTCTGTGATATTAATCTGGTTCAGTTTGCCAGTAAGCTTGAAGACTGGATACTAGAGCAAAGGAAAAGATCATGCAGTCATTTGTATTATTGTAGTGTCTTTGCCTTGCAATATAAAGCTCCTTGAGGTGACTGTTGTGATTTAGCAATATATAAATTGAATTGAATTAAATTGACCTTTTCCATAGTGGTTTGTACATCAGGGTAAGAAGTGAAGCCGATGAGGTGAAGCACCCCTCATGCCTCATGCTCACAGCCTGTGGGGACGGTGTTATTATGCAGGGTCAGCTGGACCACCTGGATATACTGCACGATGGATTCTTTTTTTTCCATCCAAGATATCACGGACATATTCCAAGATGACAATGTCAGAATTCATCATCCTCACATTGTTTGGTTCAGAGAGCATGAGACATTGTCACACATGGATTAGCCAGCACAGAGCGCAGACTTTAACCCCACTGAGAATCTTTGGGATGTACATGAGAAGACTTAATGCAGCAGAGGCGGTCCAATGAAATATTAGCGGCGGACTTTGAATCCTCATCCTGACCACCAAGCGGGAAGTGACAAGATAAAAAAACAGAGCTTCACTATTATCACGCAGGGCAAAATGATTTAATACAGGAAGAGGCCATTAATGGAGTCTGTAGGTCTTATAGGTTATGAATGTGCTGAATCAAGTTAATCAGTCATTAGATTATTTATATATGTGTAATATATTCACTCTACTGTGCAAGTCTTGTGTGTGGTTGCTGCAATGATAAGTAAAATAATTTATTTATCTATTTATTTATTTTTTCAGCCTGCAAGTGCAATGGCCACGCAAGCATGTGCAACCCTAACAATGGCAAGTGCTTCTGTACCACCAAGGGCATCAAAGGAGACAGATGCCACCTGTGAGTTTCACATTTCATGATGCTCGCCTGTCTCTCTGTCCTCTTTTTCACTCATGCGATGTCTGAAGTCTTTACTGTAATATTTTGCACCCCTAGAATTCAGATTGCTTGTGGGGTACCGTAGGCTTTATTTTCTAGTTTGTCTCTGTGCAGCAGATCCATTATGTGTTACATCCAGAGAATCTGACAGCACAGTAGTGGTACCGGTCTACAGAAAACCCTCAAATAGCCTTTTTTAACTTTTTCTAGGAATTTTTTCTTGAAGATGGTCCTTTGTGATAGTACGGGCTTGTAGTTCAGCACTTTGGGGATCAAAGCTGGTAACTGGTCAATCACAGGCATCAAGGCTTCTGCAATCTGTGTACCGTGAAAACAACATTCAGTGACGAGTAAAAGTGTGAATTCCTTTTAATGATTTAGTCAACTTCTCCAAAAATTAACAGCATACATGTATTTGTCAGTTGTTGAGCTAACCCAAGAACGAGCCTGTCAAACCACCAGCAGATTGAGAAATGGGTTCCAGTAATCAACAACCTTTATGTGCAAAATTGCTGAACCACATGAACTTCAGTGGGTTTTTTTCCTCCCCTGAAATGTTATTTTCCAGACCTGTAAAGCCACATGTTGAGATTTCAAAATGAGAAACTCTAACCATGGCACAGCGCAGCAGCAGCTGTTCATTAGCGCTTGCAGCTATATTTTTAGTACTTGTCTTAACCCTGGACTTCATTATCAGAAGGTTTTCCAAAATCCATTTAAAAAGTTGAGATAAGGTTTCACAAATGATTGGTCATCAGTTTGAAAATGAGGCCTTTTTTTCGCCTTATTACATTTCTTTAAAGATTTCGTAGGCACACGTTTCCTGTGAATTCCCATCACGCTCACTCGGTCTCCTTTTAATCTTTTTATTTTTTTACACTGTGGTGTTACTTCCTGGCTGAAGGTTAACACTTCTCTTCCCTCTTTCCTTTCTTTCTGACTTTTCTACCATCCCTGTTCATCTTTCCCTCGCCTCTCTTCAGGTGTGAAGTCGAGAACCGCTACCAAGGCAACCCCCTCAAAGGAACATGCTATTGTAAGTGGAATTACAATTACTAACGTCAGTAAAGGGGTTTGTGTGTGCGTGCGTGTGCGGTGTCACATTAAGAGAGCACTATGAGGTCTGAATCTCTTCCTTGTTCATGTCAGTGGCAAGACAGCAACACGGCTCCTAAATCAAAGCAGTTTGATGTTTAAAAAATAACATCCAGAGCCAGAGCTGCTCTTTTAACCCTTTAAAACCGGTCAGAGCGGGCACGCTCCGTTTTGCGTAACTATTTTTAAATCCCGGTAGCACTGCGACCAGGTGAGCTAGCGCAATAATTTTTTTTGCATATGAAACCGGAGGAGTTGTACTTACATCTTATGCCATCAGCTTGTCCTCGATCGGTTTCCTTCCACATATAGGTTTGCCAAAAACTGCATAAAAAGCGCTTGCAGGAACAAAAACATAATAATCCAGAAACTCGCTTTGCCGATCCGATCAGCTGTTCGTAACACTTCCTACGTCCATCAGCGTGAACTATCGCATGTCCGCCATGACCTGCCCGAAACCGGAAGTGATGTCATTTTCGCGGAAATGTAGTTTTTTTTACCATCAAGGCCTCATGAGCTTATACTGGTGTTTTTAAAAGTTATGTTTGACTTTATGACTTTCTGTGTCGTTTCTGGGATGCTGAGGACTCAAATTCCACTGCTGGAAATAGTTTATTTTGATGCATATGCTGCATTTTTGCAAATTTGCAATATAATATTTATTTTCGTTTTTCCTGCAGTGTATAAAAATTGGTGTATTTCAAAAATAAAACTATGAAGACACTCAAAATAAATTTCCTGTGGTGGGAAACTAGTTTGTGCAACTTTTTTGTATTTACAGTTTTGAGGGATAAACCTCTTAAATTTCTCTAACTAGAAATATATGTTAAAAAAACAAAAACGATTTTCAATTTTTTTGAAGTTTATTGCACTTTTTTGCAATTTATGTAATTACTATGCGCTTAATGCATGCATATTATTAAAATTTAGGCTGTAATGGTTGTATTGATGTATAGCAACTTGAAATGCTCCAAAAAATGGCTCCACAGCATGTAAAAATATAATATAAGCTCTGGCGGATTTGGTTCTATGGTAGGTCTTAAAGGGTTAAACAAGTCGCAGGTGGAAAGAATTGAAAGTGAGACGCAGATGAAATTGCCAAAAAAATGCATGTAAGCTTATAAAGGACCGTCTTGCTCTTTTTGCACCTGTGATAAGTCATTTTGCAGACAGATTGCAGTACAGCGGTCCTGCCATTTTTAATCTCATTATCTGATGATTATGGAGGCTAAAGTGATGTCACGTTTGTCTAATCATCAGTACTTTCTAACCCAAACAAGCTATAAATCATGTTGGACTGTATAGTGTTAAATTTTCACACTGATGGAGGAACTAGGTCATCCATTGTGCTGCTTTAAAAAAAATATAAAATATATATATATATATATATATATTTGTTTTTATTACCCTGTATTCTGCTAAGGTGTGAAAATGTTTCTAAGGCATAAATGAGCAGGAACATTAAGTGTTATCCATATTTACCCTGAATTAATTGGATAGTTTGTTAAAAATCAATCAACTGTAAATTCATTCCTCATCAGATTATTAATCTATAATGGAATTTAACAGCTAGTGTTCAGACACAGCTTATTTTTGGTAGCAGCTGTTGCTATTTGTGGTTGTAGCAAACGCCCCCGTCATCCAAACACACTGCAACTTTAATAAAGAAGTCGGGCAGTAATTTGTAATTGGGAATTTTCAATCAGCCCGTGAGCCACGGTGATCTGATTTTCTGCTTCGCACAATATGAGTCTACGTCCCCACTGTGTTCGTTCGGTTACCTTGCTGGGAGCTTAGAGGCGTGCTGCCAGTGACTGCCAGCTCACCGTGGCTGCTCCTTCTTGTCCCATTACTCCCTGTAATATTTCAAAACGACCTGCTGTCAAAAAAATGCCAGCAGGGACTGTTGTTTTGTATGTGCGTTGGTGGGGAACAGTAGTGGCAAGCGCTCGGTTCCTGACACAAGCTGCATTTCCTGTTACTACCTAATAATAAAAATAAACTCATGTCTGCCGGTTACATTCCTTTTAATGTGAAGTTGAAGCAGTTGGGAATGTTTTCTGTACATTAGACGTTAATTACATTAGTGCTTTTTAATGACAGCACCATGTACTATTATTCAAATATCTATAAAGCTTTTGATCAGTGTTACCCTTGCTGTATGGAGAGGAAACAAACTAACAAATAAAACCCTCCAATTTTTCCAAGTACGTGATCCAGCTGTTTAAATTGATTTTTGACTGAAGTTGAACTTTTTTGTTGAACTTTTTGTTGAGGTGGGATTATTTTATGTTTACTTATTTTCGAGATTTGGCCCCATCTAAATCGCTCTTATCCAGATTATTTGAGTGGAACTGTAACTGCAGAATAACCCCTGGCGTCTGAATGCGTCCGTCTCCCCTGTTTTGTTGCGCTGTCCTGAAAGTGACCTTCAGCTGTAATTTACCGCTAGCTGACACGCTGTCATGTAACCCATCCTCTGTCCTGACCTTCATCACAGAGCACGCTCCAAAATCCTCAGATCTCGAATCGAATGTTTGAAACGGGGAAAGAATGGGAGTAATTTTCTGAAACCATGTTCTTGTGTGACTTTCAAACTAGACTGATTGAGTTGTTCTTCTGCTTCTTTTTGTAATCCCCACCACATTCCTCCCACGCTGGCTCACTGGCTTCAAACAGACACGCTCCTCATCGACTACCAGTTCACCTTCAGCCTGTCGCAGGAAGACGACCGCTACTACACGGCCATCAACTTTGTGGCCACACCTGAGGAGGTATGTGTCTAACAGTGAGCACCCCACCGCCACAGCAGCTGTCACTTCTGTGAGGATTAGAAAGTTTACAGTTGTTGTCGAACAAATAGGCTCACTTCTTTGTCATTTTAGGGATAACTTAGATGGTAGTTCAGTAGTTTACATGCACACCGATTGTACTGGACAGGCAGGAAGCACGGTGACGCCAAAACTAACTTCAAAATAAAATAAGAATCAGTATTTAATAATCACACAACAAAGTGAGTCGACTGGTTTACTATGTTCCCTGCAGGAAAGTTTCCTCGCTGATAAGCTGGTGATCAGAGCGAAGAGTAATGTGGCCACTCATCAGAGAGTCAGTCACACAGATGTTTTTACGGCAAACAAAAGCTTGTCTGGTCGTGTTTACCTGGCTGCAGCATCTGGGGCCAAAATTGAAACATAAGCATCTGATTAAATGTTCCAGATGGTATTTTTCCCCTGACAAAGCTTCTACTAAAGATTTACAAATGCACAATCGGCTACAGGGGAAGCTCAACTCTTACAGCAAATCACAACATATTTCAATTTATATTTAGCAAATCCAGGAAACTTGTGGTGAAGTTGAATTTTTAGCTGTTTGAGTTGTTCCGCAGTTATTTAGTAAATCAGAAACCAAAAGATCGTTTACAAAATATAGAATCGAGCAGAAGATTTCAAATTCAAGACGAAGCGATGACAACATCTGTGACGCACATGTGTAACAATAAATAGTGAAGACATCTGGATTTCTCGCCGTCTAGCTTCAGCCGGCTTCGCTGAAGCTGTTGAAATGTTAATTGTTGCCTTTTTTTCTTTAATAAATAATTGATTCACGAACGCCGGCTTTCAGTTAGTGAGTAAACATTAATTACATCTCAGCTTACATCTGTTTGACATTATTTGAGCTTCACTTACAGTGAATGTGATACATACAGTGTTCAGCTGCGGTGCTTATTCAAACATTTGATTTGTTAATTCGGCCTCCCATTAGCTCTGCAAATTTGCTCTGGTCTGCAATACAGTAACTGCTTGTGCAGCTACAAAGTGATACCGGAGGAGTGAACAAAGTCGCTGCTCTGCAGTTACAGTAAAACGTAAGGGCTTTCCTGGTCTGTGTGCTACGAGCAGTTTGTTTTTCGTTTACTCTGGTGGTTGCAGTAGAAAACGGACTCGCCCATCTTCACTGAATTGCGGTTCGACCACTATGGGGCACGTGGGGAAAATGACACCAGTAAACTGATGATGATGACTTGTCCGTGTTTCTGTCCTCAGCCAAACCGAGATCTAGACATGTTCATAAATGCCTCCAAGAACTTCAATCTGAATGTAACCTGGGCCACCAGCTTCACCGGTAAGTCTCAACAAAGCCCCTTATTAGTGCTGCTCAACGAATTAGTCAATGAGCTAATGATTGGCCAGTGATTGAAATATGCACTCAAGTGTTTAAATTAAGGCTTAAAATGATAAATATTACTGATTTTCTCAGACAAAGAAAGTGAAGATGACTGGTTTTATATTCATGTAATAACAAGTTAATAACAAGGTTTTTGTCACCATCTTCACAGCTGTTTAAAAATGATATGAAAAGTCACCTGTCTTTCCATTGTAGTAGTTTCTGCACCCGGAGATTTACAAATGTGAAGTAATGCAGACACTTCACATTTGTTGTGTCAATAAAATTCCACCAGACACTGGAGCAGAAATGAGAAATTCTCCTTTTCTTTTTGTCTTGTTTTCTTTTTCTTTTTTTTTAAAATAATTTCCTCCATCATCTATAACTTTTGTATGATTTGACATTTTTGTCCTGTCTTCCCTTTCCCCTTTCTTCTCCTCTTTTCTTTATCATCCTGTTATTTCTATTTTCTGTATTCCTATTTTCTCCCTCCATCTCTGTCCCTTGTTTGTGTCACCCAGCGGGCACCCAGGCCGGAGAGGAGATCCCCATCGTCTCTCGGAGCAACATTAAAGAGTTCAAAGAAAGCTTTTCCAATGAGAACTTTGATTTCCGAAACAGCCCCAACATTACTTTCTTCGTCTACGTCAGTAACTTCACGTGGCCCATCAAGATCCAAGTAAGCAACTCGTACGCTTAACGATAACTGATCCGTTTTTGTTACCATACATATTTGTAAAGCAGGCAGGTAAAGACAGGCTCACTACAGATTAATGCAATACTAAAATTCTGTTCAATTTGTAACTCTATATTTAAGATAAAGCTCCACTGTGAGCAATACATTTCCATAAAAACTGACATGTATTGATGACTCAAATGCCAAAGAAGCGTGATCGATTGTCAGTTTATGGAGTGCTCTTATCTGAGCACATTTACTTCTGCCAGACAGAGGAAGTCATTCATGTGACATCTAAGAATCAGCATTCATTCACTGGTTTGATGAAAGTGAAAAGAATGTTAGATATGAATTTAAAAGTGTTAAAATGAGAAGCTTGGTGTATGACAAAGTGTGGGAAGTAGAATTAATGATGGCCGGAAACCTTAAACGTGACAGGTAGAGAAGGTTGCTTTGTTTCTGTGTCACATATACGAAAAAGGGGACGAGTTTACCAAATGTAGCTTTAAGTCAAATTCACTGGTATTTTGCAAATATAATAATAAACGTGAATTTGCTGTGCAATTGTGTAACTTTATTAGCAGCGTCCTCCTGAAATGCGCCAACAACATCGAAAGTAACATCCTCCTCTCTGCCCCTTAACGCTCTATTGGTCGCTATGGTAACGTGTGAATATTTCTTTCAAAATAAGACACAACTGCAATATGAGTTAACCAAGTTAACGATAAAACCCCAGAAACCATAAATTTCACACCCGAGCCTAAACTCTCGTGGCCCAGTGCTAAATGACTCGGCCCGGGGGTTGGGGACCGCTGACGTAGCGGATCAATACAGGGCGTCCATGACCCTGTTGGGGAGACTCCCATAGGGCTTAAATCCAGGGCTCTCCACCTCACCTGTTGCTCTTAGAACTGAAGAAGCTTCTCGGATAAGAGGTGAAACGTCTTTAAGACACTTAAATAAGTCCAGAGGCTTTTCTTTCCAAGCTCCTTAGACAACTCTGAGATAAGCAGTATCCGCAATGCTAAAACAACATACAAACATGACACTTTAAAAGCCAAAGACACCTTTATAGAGTTGTAATTTATGTGTTAGCTGTGTGTTGTAGTGGTTACTGCACTTTTTTTAAACTTTTAGAACAATTATCTATGTCAATTTGAAATTTCCTCTGTCACCAGGACAGAGGACAGTTTGCTGACTTTGTTCCAGGCCTCTGAATTATGAAAATTAAACCAGCTTGGTTTGACTGTACAGACAAAACAGCAGTGGTGTTTAATTTTTGCTCGTTTTTGTTATTGTGCAGCATGTAATGGAGCTGTGTTGTTTTTTCAGAAAGTAAGCCTTTTCTTTTCACCTGAAATGAGTTCTTATTGGCTTTATTGCTGACATAGTTAGCAAAATGGTAATCAATACAACACTTTACGTCTCAGTACTCAGCGGCTTTGATTCAAGTAACACTGTAACACAGACTCGGCCCTGATTAAAATGCAGCTGTACTCAGTTGCCTTATGCTTAACGACTGTGTTGAGTTTGAAAGCTTTGTATCGACATCCTTACACGTGTAGTTGTCACTGATGTAGGATGTGGCTTGTTTTCTGTGTAGATTCGTAGAGTTCCAATAAAGCATTTCAAGAAATTGCATCTGAAAATGTGCCGTGTGTACATGGGTGTTTGTGCAGGGTGGTATAAACTCCTGCATCAATACAACCTGTTGGTGTAATAAATGAATGTTCTGCCAGGACTGCGTGCTGCTGGAGGGGGAGAGTCACTCTGGGCCTGGCTTCCTGTGCCCGACTGTGTGCCTCTCCAAACAGTTCTGGGAATGATTTTCAGTGGTTGCCCCCCTTGCAAGCTTCTTCCCCCACCTCTCGCCCTCCTCCTGTAGGGGAGGAAAAAAATAAAATCCTGCCTCCATCTACCATATCCTGCCTTGTGAGGGCTTTTAGTTTAGAACACCCAAACTGCTGCCAACCAGCCTCAGGAGGTGCAGCTCCACAGCAGAGCAGAGAGCTTAGCTGACTTAGCTCCCCCCACACCCCACTCGGCCTCTTTTAGGTCCACCTCACCTTCTGCCTTCCTGGGTGGGATCATGTAGAAGATCACCCCTATTTTGAAACTAAAACACAGGTCTGTTGCAATGTTTTTTGGGTTTCTTGCCCCCTACTTTGCACTCGTGGAGTTTTATCTTCGTCAGCGAGGTAACAATTTCTGTTTTTTTTTTTGTTTGTTTTTTAAACCACTTCTTCTGACTAATAGTTCTTGATTTTTCCTTTGCCTTTTCTCGCTCTCCTCGCATTCAGCGGTCTGCTGCAGTGTGACACTTGGATACGTGAGCGCGCTTGTGTGTGGAACCGTAGGCGGCAGGTCCTCCGGTGTTGGCAGGCAGAGATCGGCATGCTGGAAAATGGTTCATAAACAGCAACTTAGAAAGAGCAAGGGCAAAGTGGAATGTTAAGTTGAAACACATGCTGCATTCAGAGTGCGCGAAGCTAAGCTCTCTCTCTCTGAGCTATACAGGGCTCTCTGTCTTTCTCTTGCTCCCTCTCTTCACACGCCACCTCAAGGTTGCTTCTGTTTGCTTTCACAGGGTTGGAAGTGGCGCTCGAACAGCAGGCGCATCATTTTGAAGGGAATTTGTTTTTTGCTCGTTTTACCTTCGCTCCACTTTGTCCGAACACACGGTTGAGTTCAAGCTTTTTGGAATTATTACACATTTCTTCACATCAGATCAAAAACTTCTAAAAGCCCTGAATTGGATTACAGGACACACCCCGTTGTAATTAGTCTCATTTACCAAATGAGATCTTTCCCAGTGGTCGGAGTGAATTCCGTGATGAGTTCATCAACCGTCGAGCTGCTCGGATCATCAAAGCAGAATCAATTGCAGGGAGATTAGTAAGCCCGGAGTTCTCACACACCTCTTTTCTCCCTTTTTTCCTGATGAAGAATAGATCAGATTTTAATGATGTTTGTAATGAAACACAAATCCCAGACTAATTACATTAAAGACCTGTGATCTCCTGTTCCGTGCCTTAGTGAACATGTCATGATATGGTAGAGATTACAACGGCCTGCAATTTAATACCCCGCCGTGGAGTAGCAGCATCTGTAGCTATCAGCTGACTGCTGCTCTGCATATCTGTACGGACCCGTGTAGCGTTTATCTGGGCCATGCCTCGCTGCCTGGTGGGTGTGTCTTGATAGCGATCGCAGAGAGGTTGGAAAACAGAAGCAGTGGTTTTTGCAGTGACTGATACAACATAAAATTATTGCTGTATAAAAACTAAAGGAAAATGAAAACTTAAAAAGGTACCATGCACATTAATATAGTGGTTATATATGAAAGTATTCTACCTTTAAAAAAAAATCTACATGTTTAACACCTTAATCTGAGATGCACTAAGATAACAGGAGTAAGTACTTTCCTTAGGAATACCACTTACAGAAATTGATAATTGCGTCACCTTGCAGTAATTGCATAACTCATTTCTAGTTTGTAAAGCAGGTAATTTAGTCTTAATTTAGATTTAAAGACTAATCGTTAGATTCTTTCTTCCTTTTTAAGTTCCTCCTGGCGTGATCGGAGGTGTGGCTCTGTGTTTCTCTTTAAAATATGCCCAATGTTTTTGAACATATTCCTGTTCAGCTCAGAAGCTTTACTTCTTTTTAAAATCTGTCATTTTGGCAGCATGCTGGAGATTATCGTGCCAAATGTTCATGTGACTTGGAGTCATCTTTTAGGCTTTTTACTTTTTTAGCTTTCCCTTTTTTTAAATCACATTGTTGTTGCCTCGACTTTCCATTTTGGTGTCTGTTTGTCAGTTTAGCCATTCTAAAGGATCGTGCTTGTTCATAAAATGGCAGTACTCCTTTGTTTTGGCTCAGAAACATTTTAAAACATTTGACACTGAAGTAAGTTTGCACAGATTTTACTTACGGATTTTGTTGTTTACTGTACATTTGAAAATCAGCCAGCTACTCATCATTTTCCAGCTAATCTAACTTGCTCAGTACAGTAAAGTAAAACTGTTTACTGACCTTTGAGGCTTCACTTTGACTGTGCTGTTTTGAGAAAAATGTAAATTTTTCTGCAGTGTATGGCTGCAGTGACAGAGCTGCCATGCTGAGGTTTAGCAGGTATAGTGTTGTTTTGTTGATGACGGGTCTTTTTGTGGTGTTGTTTTTGCCCCTGTATCAGGATTAAATCAGTCTGAGTTTGATGGGAGTATCATTACTTCTCCAAGTATTTGGTCACAAACACAAAGCGCTGGACTCTTGATTGTTCCTCAGAAGATGTCAGATTCATTAGATGGTTAAGTCATTTCACACCAAAAAACAGAAAGAGAGAAAACCCTCCAGTACTGTTACAGCAAAAGTCCAGAGTTCACCAACATCATCATACATCATTTGTATACACCAGGGTTGTCAAACATAAGGCCCTGGGGCCAGAATCGGCCCAGCAAAGACTCCAATGTGGCCCACTTTGACCCCCATCTTTGGAAAATGTGACAACACCTATTGCCATTCATACTACACCAAATTAAGTAATAGATGAACAACAGTTAAAACTAGAGATGGACCGATCCGAAATTACGTATCTGTATCGGTCCGATACTGACCTAAATTACTGGATCGGATATCGGAGAGAAATAAAAAATGTAATCAGATCCATTAAATATCACAAAAGCACCTCACAAAACTTGCGACATGGCGTAACTCTGCTCATAACCGTAGCACGTCGGAGCAGTATGCATCACGTGATAGAGCAGCTGTGGCGTGCAAGACTGTCAGCGGTCTGGAGCCTCGCTACCAAACCGGCATCTAACAACAGCTTGATAATCTGTTGTTAGAATTTATTTAATTTTACTTTGTACACCAGGATCTTTTTCTCTGTTGAAGAAAGATGTTGAATCTATTTAATTATTCTTGAAAAATAATTGATTTCTGTGCATTTTTTTTTCCCAACCCGCAACAAAATAAAACTGAATAACGCCAATAAACAA